GGGGGTAACGGGTGGGAGGCGGCACCCCAGTGTGTGGAAAGGGGAAGCTGTGCAGGCACGGGCAGGAGGGATGGGAAGGGACAGCCGAGGGCTGGGACGGGCAGGGGGGATGAGGTGCTGGGCCGGTGGGGAACCATTGGTCCTGTAGAGGCAACGGGCTTTTGGGAAACACCTTCCTCACCTCTGGGGGAGGCTGGTGGCACCGCACCGGGTGTCCCACACATGGTCCTGCGGAACGGGCAGCGAACAGAACCCATTTGAGAAGTAAAGATTCATTCTCACAATATAGGAACTGGGAGAGGGGATACGGCTTCATCCCTGTGTCCTGTAGCAGTCGTCTCGTGACTATGCATCCTGCGAGCTCGTTATCGAGGGGCAGGGGGGAAGGCAAGGTCAAACTTAATTTGGCTGTCAGGGTATTATGTTCCAGGAACTGATAATGAAGGCCAGAAGAGCCATTTGCCGTGGCGGCAAAAACATAAACGAAAGCGAATGCGAAAGGAGGGCTGTGGCACCAAACTGGAGCGCTACCGAAACCCAGTCTGGGGGAGCTGCTCTGAAAAGATGCAAAGAGCTTTGCAGTCTTTCCGTGAGTCTCGGGGGCTGCTCCAAGCGGACAACAACCAGTTGTGATTTTGGCTTGCTGCTAAGTGGCTAGGCCCTACTTTCAATCTAATCTAGTTTGTACGAGACTTCTATGAAGTTATAGAATGCTGAAGTGTTTACGTTTAGGAAGAGTGTCTCTGCTGCCTTTTGTTTCCTGAGTGACACAAGCTATATCAGATCTTCTGTGAGTTTTTGCTTAAGTAAGAACCATATTTGTGCAGAAAAAGTAAAAACTGATTAGCTCAACCTCATTGTATTGTCTTTATTGTAAGTCTGTTGCAAATTGGAGGATATTAGTCCACGCCTGCATGCCATGCTCACATGAATAAGTCTTAAGGTGCCCCACAACTCCATCAAGCCCAGCCTGGGACATGCCAAACCCTTCCCGATGCCCCTAGCTGTAAGATGTCCCTCTGTGCAACAGACCTGGCTGCAAGAGAAGGAGGGGAGATTTGCCTCCACCCGACAGCCAGGGGCACGTCTCTCTTTGCAGGGAGCTCCCCTTCACCGGGGGCTGGGACCCTCTTCTCCACCCCCCAGGTCCCCCACCTCCTAAATGGGTACCCCAGCGAGTCGGCTCTTGCCTCAAAGGCAGCTCGTGAGTTTTAAGCTCCTTGGGCTGCTCCAGGCACGTGGCCACCTTCGAGGGGGTGACCTGCCCGTGCCTGGAGACCACTGCCACCCTGCCCGCAACAAGCCCCTCTGAGTGCACATGGAAACAAGCCCCTGCATGCTGGGCAGGTCTCTCTCAGGGCTTAGGGAAGCTTTAGGGTGCCAGTGTCACACCTGGCAGCTTTACAGGAGGAACGAGAGCTCCAGGCTGCTGCTGCACGTGCGTGTGTGTGCAGACAAGAGCTTCAGACAGTTCTCTTCACAGAATCACAGAATGGTGGGGGTTGGAAGGGACCTCTGTGGGTCATCTAGTCCAACCCCACTGCCGAAGCAGGGCCACCTACAGCAGGCTGCACAGGACCTCGTCCAGGTGGGTCTTGAATATCTCCAGAGAAGGAGACTCCACAAACTCCCCGGGCAGCCTGTTAGGGCTCCGTCACCCTCAGAGGGAAGAAGTTCTTCCTCATGTTCAGACGGAACTTCCTCTGCTTCAGTTTGTGCCTGTTGCCTCTTGTCCTGTCGCTGGGCACCATTGAAAAGAGTCTGGCCCCATCCTCCTGACACCCACCCTTGAGATATTTATAAACATTTATTAGGTCCCTCTTGGTCTAGCAGCACCAAGGCTGGGGGGAAGAGGTCACTCTAAGGGGCTGCCCCCTCAGAAATAGCATACGTGTATGCAAAAGGGGTTCCATCACTGTGAGTTAGAACAGAAACGAGCACAATATTTGATGTGTTTGAACTGAACGTTTGCTTGCAGAGCAGGCTGCTGCCCGGTGCGCCGAGCATGCAGCGCTTGGGACTGCGCGCTCACCTGGGCGTGCGAAACGTGGCAGCTCTGAGAAAAAAACCAGCCAGGCGACAGGCAAACAGCACGTAACGACCGCCCAGACTTCTGCCGCCCTGCAGCTCCTCTCGGTCCGCACGACCCCCGCGGCTCGGTCTGAGCCCCAGCGCTCCCAGCAGCAGCAGCCGCGGGGGACAGACAGCTGCACTTCAGCGGAGGTGAGGTCACCGCTGAGTAGCAACCACGAGTATTTACGACGGCTTCTGTATGTTAACTATGAGTGGGAACCAATAAAGCTGTGCACAAGCTCTGGACGTTTCGGGATCGCTCCACCCGGGCTGGAGCCGGACTCACCGAGACGAACCCCGGGCCCCCAGCCCCTGGGGGCTGCACAGGGCTGCCCCACTGGCAGCCTGGGGAGCTGGCTTGTCTGTGCGGGGTGGTGAGGGGACTGGCTGCTGCATCTCTGGGGTGGAAAAGGCCTCAGCAAGCAGGGGAGATGGTTTAGTTCACCTTGCCAGCAGAAATCCCCGTGGGACCTGTACAGACGTGCCCATACGCAGCATCAGTGGCAGCAGCAGAACCAAGAGTCGAGCATCGCACCCGCCGTCCGCGTCCCTTCTCCGTGCGTCCCCGGGGCTGCCCTCTGGCAGTGATGACCCGTTCCAGATAACTGGTCTTTCAAGTTCATTTCCCTTCCCTCGCCCCAAGACCCTCTCAGCATTTTCCTTACCCACCAAACGGTGTTCAGCACTGCTCAGCACTCTCGAGCTCTGCGGGGCACGGGGGTCCCACACATCCACCAGCGGAATGGGGATTTTCAGGCTTAAGGAGCGGTGCGAGGGCAGCAGGAGGAGGGTGAGGGCCAGGCACCCCATCCTTGCTGCCCTGAGGTGGACCCTGGTCCTGCAGCACCAGCCCACTCTCTTCTCCCAACGCCTCCTGCTCCGAGGGGTGCGCTTGTGGGTGCATAGGGGGGGATGCTCCCCAAACCCTTGCTGCTCTTCACAGTCCTACCTGCTGCAAGACGTCCTTGCTGTCCACCCGATTGCTCTGCAAGGCTGGGAGGCACATTTTCAGCGAGCTCATTAGTACATCAGGTGAAGACTTTTTCACACCAGCGAGCAAATGGCCCTGGGGGAACTGGGGCTGCCCATGCTGGTCAGGGCACACAGGCTACGCCTGCACGTGAAACCCATGCCAGCCTCCACCGCTGGGGCACGCGGCCTTGGCTCTCTGCAGCTTTTCCCAGAGAAGAACAGCCACGCAGGGCTTCGGGTGCTTCAGATGGTGCGTGTCACGCGTGTGGCGTTGGAGGGCTGCCCTGCCCAGGGACGCTGCATGGAGGCAGGGATAAAACGTGCGCCCCGAGAAGGTTCATGCCCACCTCTGGCTCCTGAGGGGAAGCATTGCAGCTCTGGACCTGGCTGCCCTCCATCTGTGCTGCTTCTCTTGAGCTTTTAAATCATTCCGCTTT